AGGTGGGGCCTCGGCCACTAACAACGTCTGTGAAGGCAATCTCGTTGATGGCTCTGGGTACGAGATTGCTGCGAAGGAGGCTAACCCATAGATATCTTATATACACTAGATAGTGCATCTAATTATTCTGCAATTCAAAAATTGAAGCCGTGATTGCATATATTCGTATATTTCCTATTTCTTAAACAGGGAACTTAAATATTAAGTCAACCCTATTCCAAATACATTTTTAAACTATTCAAATGATGAAAGTTATTGTTGTTTTTAAGTGTTTATTAGCGAGTGGGAACGACCAACATGGCCGCCATCTATTCAAATGGGGTAACCGCTGGAATATTCTTGGCTTCAATTTTACTAAAAGAGATGCGCTATCTAGTGTATATAAGATATCTATGGGCTAACCACATACGCGATTTGCGTCAATTAGTGAACATTCGTGTACGTGCTCGCTCGCACGTACTACTATTTGCTGAGCAGCGTGTGTTTGTAAATTCTCACTTTCTGGCCAATAGCTAGCCTGCTCGCAGCCTTAAAATTTGAATAGCGATCTTGAAACGGATATGCGTCGCAGTGCATTTCAGATCGATTACATATAATTGACAGGACTATACAGGTGGTCTTAAATATAGTTCAACAGAAACTAGCGAGTCTTGGGAATTCTTAAGGCCCAGTGAAAAAATGGCTATGTCAAAGCGTATACGAGTTGGCACGATCACAATTGGATGCTCGCTGATGGTACTCACATTCCTCTCCATGATCTGTGGTATTGTCGCGATGAGCAAAATGAGCACTCCATTTGAAGTTAGTATCGGTTTATGGGGATTTTATGTAAGTATAACATTTCACAGTGTTTTCTCTTTAACGTTCGCGTTTTAAAGTAAGTAATTGATTAGCGCCGGTGAAGAAGATTGCATTTCCGTAGGACATGTTGTAGGACATTGAAAGTCCTACCATATTTTACAGTCTTAGAAATTTAAAGAAAAAGAACTAGTTGTATATATGTATGACGGTGCCTTCATAATGGAACTCTTTACGTTTTGTGAAAGGAAAATCGCTACCGACATCGGTTTTAAAACAGGACATTTCCTATAAATAATGTATATATACAGTCTAGAATTATAATATATGTGCATCAGTGCCAATTCTATACCATTTTTTAACTACTTGTAATAAATTGTTGTTTTACAAGCCCATCGATCGTGTAAACCAGCTATATCTGAGAATGTTAGTTTGGATAAATATATAAAGTTTAAAATATTCTGAGCGCTAATCTGAGCATTATTTCTTTGCGTGTGGTAAACATTTATTCTTTGTATATATTAAATTTAAATAACAGACAAAGTATATATTCATTTGAAGCGAGGAAGTTTATTCCGCACTAGAGATCAGATTTCCATCATTGGCATCAAATTTCATTAAGCGTGCATAAACTGCGCGTTTTTCGCTGGATGCTTTGAAGGAAGTGATTCTGTGGACAGACTAAACAAGCATGATATTCCAGCACATTTATGACCGTTTAAAACCTCAATCATGCAAGTAACTATTCTGAGAAGCTTTTCCAAAATTTCAGCCTTTATATTTGGTACGTACTGATAAAAATTAAATGGGTGCATGAACAAATGGAAAAAGTTCCGGCTGTAGTACAAGGTAACAGTAACTTAATGGAAATGAACTTTATTTTTAATATTCTCTATTATGTGGACTACGTTTATACTCGTTATCAGGAATAAAATGACGACCAAAAACTATTACAATAGGAAATTATGATTACTTTCGTTCCAGTTAAAACTTATTTCTGATATATTGGATGGTTTGAGATCTTTTAAGATCACAAGGACAAGGTAAACTATTCCAAGTAACCGAGTCAATGTAACTAAATGATTTTTATCTTGAGATTAGTGTTTGGTTTAGGTGGAAAATAATTTTGCACCTGTCACGTTTCGTAATTGTGTACGTCATCGGCAACCTCGTACCCGGGCTCTTTCCACTACGCGCCTCGCTGGAGGAAAGACCCTGGTCCAGGCTGGTCACGTGTCTCCCAGATTTTGGGAGATAACAAAATTTTTACATAAGGGTGGGGGGCTAAGTTTTATTTTACCGATCTAGTTGCCGATATCAATTCGATAAAGTTCAGAGCGTGTGTATTTTAACAAATGCATGTCATTTTAATGAATAACAAGAGTTTGTGTTGCAAAATCAATGGGTGAGATGTCTTTGTATATGTATTCTTTGTGGATTGGATTTGCGACGTCGCTCTACGCAAGATCTACATACTGGAGTCTTTCAGTTTCATATTGGGAAAACCGCAAAGAATTACTAGGGAAAGGATTTGTAATATACCCAAGGACAAGCAAAGAATTAAGAATATAATAATTGCCTAGCAGCCGACAGCGAGTCTACTGTAAATTGCCGTAAATTTTAATCATAAGTGGAACGGCTCGATAACATCGACACATGCATTAATATAGACAGTAAGAAAATATATTATATAGTGTGCACATGAGTATCGATAGTATGTCTATTTCCTTGTGTTTCAATAAGACAGTACTCAATAGTCAGTGGATTATATATATATTATAATATTTCGAAATGTACTTCATGCACACATGTTTTTAATAGAGAGTCAGCTTGGCGTTCATACGTTAAAGGACAAACGGCGGGCAAAGGAAAAAATAAGCTATATAAGACAATAGAGAGTAAATAAACTTGCTATTTTAAAACTGTATGTATAATGTATTCTTTTGATATAAGAAAGAAAATATGAAGCGAAGAAGTTTTAAGCGAAAATGCTTCAAATTTGACTATGATTTGACTCAGCCGTTTGACTGCTTATATAAACAAACATCCAGACCAGGTGTTTGCCAGATAAATTCCGTTAATTTAAATTTGATTAAGGAATAAGGTACAAACTTTAGAATATATTGGGCCTTACTTGTATGCCTTATCTGTCGTAACATGCTAAAGGTTTTAAAATAAATTCTAAAATGAAACAGAATACAAAGCTTTCACCCAGCTAAAGCAAGAGCACAGTATACCGTTTTATGTAAACATTGATCATATTTCACTGGGGAAACAATCGATTGCAAATAAATACGCTCCTATAAACACCCAAAATATAGGATTGATTAGAGAGAATGTCGAGCTAAATAGTCTGTGTATATTAATGTATTTATTTATTCTTCATTGAATATGTTCAGTTCAACAAAATTGGAAAATTGACCACACAGTACCGTTTAGTATTCACTCGAACAACGGTTATTTTATAATCGCTCACAAATATCAATTAATATCCAATCATGATTCTGGTTAAACAAATGTTCTGCCGAATAAAACACTCAACACTAATTTTCTGAGGATTCTGCCTTTTCTTGTTGATATGTAGAGACTGTGTCGTTGAGTGAGCTTCAAAACCCGAGACTGTGTCGTTGAGTGAGCTTCGAGAAGAACATCTAAGTATCGTCTATTACAGTAACGTTTTTAAGAGTTTAACTTCAAACGTCCGGGTATGACTAATTAAAGGGAGAGTTACAAACCGGAGAGTTATCTCGGAAAGTTATGATTTCGGAGAGTTATGTTCAAACCACGCCCACTTTTCCCAACGACCACACCCAATTTCTTAACTCTCCCGACGTTTCCTTGAACAAACATGAGAGAGTTATGTTTGACGTAACTCTCTCTCGTTAACATTATGAAGATGTTAGAGAGTTATCATTTTTTATAACTCTCTGCGCTCACGACTATGGCAATGAAGAGAGTTAAGTCAGTTTTTTGAGAAAACCTTAGTAAAGCTTGTTTCTTCAGATTTTCATCTTATATTTTGGTATTTCAGTTTGTAGCGTGTGAATAGCGTGCGTCCAAACAGGAAATAGTACAACTTGACTCGGTCAAAACAATGAGACCCTTGCATCAGAAGGGTTAAAGTACCCCCAGAACTCCAGAAGCATGTTTTAACGTGTATTTGGCAGTAAATACGGCAAGCATAGTTGCAAGAAAATTAAGAAAATTGAATCTTTCAGCAATTCAGGTTTTGGAAATACTTTCCCAGATCAGTCAATAGGGCATTACATTGGAAAGATTTTCTGGTTCTATCTAATATGTATCTGAATGCTGGTCTTGCTAGATAATCCAAGTGAGCATGTATATTTATATAAACATTTACATATAGATGAACTTGGTAAGTACTATAAAGTACTATTATAGTTTCTACTTAGCGTAAAATGTTAAAGCTGACACTTGAGAAAAAAGTAAATTTATAAAAATTTACTAATATGTGAACTGACTTAACTCTCTTCATTGCCACAATCATGAACGTGGAGAGTTATAAAAAATGATAACTCTCTAACATCTTCATAATGTTAACGAGAGAGAGTTACGTCAAACATAACTCTCTCATGTTAGTTCAAGGAAACGTCGGGAGAGTTAAGAAATTGGGTGTGGTCGTTGGGAAAAGTGGGCGTGATGTGGGCGTGGTTCGAACATAACTCTCCGAAATCATAACTCTCCGAGATAACTCTCCACTTCATAACTCTCCACTTCATAACTCTCCGTTTAGCCGGTCCCCAAACGTCCAGCCAGGCCTTATTAAAAACTTCGTCCCTTACAATAACCGTTATGACGTATGAAAAATACATGCCAATAAATACTTCTTTTCATGGTAGTCCTTTGTGTTGCTTTATTCACACCCCTTGTATTGTTTTGAACTCGAACGCCACATTTGCCTTCTCTACCCCCCATAAGTCCCAATTGTTTTCTCCCAAAATCTGGGAGACACGTGACCAGCCTGGACCAGGGTCTTTCCTCCAGCGAGGCGCGTAGTGGAAAGAGCCTGGGTACGAGGTTGCGTCATCGGTTCTTTGAAGTAAACTTGAGATAGAGCCAAGAACTATTGAATTTCTGACTTTAAACATTAGTGTAGCAAGTTGCTGGTTCCTACGAGTCTTCAGATAATTAAGGTTTAAAGGCGAGATCTCGCTTACCGGGAAGAAAATGCGGTCTCTTTATACTACATGTCTCTACATACTCACAAGCTAGCCGGCTGGCACAGTCAGTTTAACAACAAAATGGAACTGAATTAGTCATAACATAAGCAATGTCAACACGCATATATTTCGCCACCGGTTGCGGTTGTGGTTGCATATAGTTATTTTAATTATATATATTATACCGGGTGTCCCAAAAAAAACTATACGTACACTGTTTGATATGTTGTAGCGTAAAAACTATAAAAGCTATTGCACTGAAATAAATTTCATTGTATTCGAAAAGGGCTAAGTTAGATTTTAATATATAATATTTAATTTTCCGTGCAATAATTAACAGCGCTATGGATGTTTTAAAGTTAAACAACCATTTTTTAGAATGCGAAAAAATAACATAAAATGACGTATCAAATAACCACTTAGTTTACCTGCGAAATATTCTTGCTCTGGTGAAATCTCTCGCATCTATGTACAATACGATTGTTTTATATATATATATATATATATATATATATATATATATATATATATATATATATATATATATATATATATATATATATATATATATAATTAATTTGTTAACTTAAAATA